ACTAGACCAGATCGGGTTTGTACCCTCAAATATTACGAGTTAGGAACTAGATTAGCTCTGTTGTTATTCCTACAGCAGCTGCGGCTAACAGACCGCCGCCCCCCCCCAAAAAAACACTTCATGCTTCTCTTTTTTTCCCTACCCCTTAGGTATCAGTTATCCTTCATCCCTCTCACCTTTATGACTTGTAATTCTTCTGTTAAAACAGTTCACCCTGCTTTTCCCTTCTGCTCTTTCTCGGCTCTCACCTTTCTATGCTAGTACCCCCTCCCCCAGCACACTTCAACCTAGACTTTCCCAGGCAGCTCTGCACAAAGGATTCAGATCAACATGCTCCTGAGATTCAGGTTCAGAGCTTTTTTATTTTTCGGTCTGTAAATTCCATCATCTTGTGCTCTCTACTTTTCCTTTCTAGTTTCTTTTAAACTCAGTAACAATTAAGGATTATATTCTTCATAGCTCCAGAAGTCAGAACACATTCATTTAATAGTAAAGAACACATTTAGATTGAAAGTTTTGGCATGGAATCTGAAAATATAGTTTGGAAATAGTTGGTGAGTAGGAACCGTATCACTGCATTCTTTACTTCAAATCCTTGGTTGTAGTCCTGTTTTCAATTCACATGCCTCTGCCCTCACTCTCACCCACCTCCAAACTTCACTTCCCTATCCATGTTTTGTTCTCATCTAATGCAAGATGATCTTCAAAAATAAGGCAAAAATCACTGTAAGTCAAAATTAACATCAAAAAGTCTTTAAATCTCACAGACGACACAGACAACACACACACAAACACACACACACACACACACACCCCCTGTACCACAGTACCCACAAAGCCATTTACATGATATTTAGGGTTGTGGCACTTAAGAGAGTAGGACTTGGAGTTGGAGCACCTGATAATTCATGAAGACATCAGCTGGCTGAATGACCTATTTGTGAGCCTTTCTGCCTGTCTTCCTTTTATTTCCTTCCTTCCTTGCTGGAATGGGGGCTGAATCTAAAGTCTTTACATTGAGCTACACCCCAAGCCCTTTCTATTTTTCCTATTTTGAGAAAGGGTCTCACCAAGTTTGCCAGGCTGGGCTCCAACTTGTGATCCTCCTGCTTCAGCTGCCCAGAGTGCTAAGATTACAGGCATGTGCCACCACTACTGGCTCCCTGCTTTTCTTTTTCCTAAGGCCAAAAAATTCCAGAAAGATAATTTGTAAGACAAAATTACTAAACAAACATACTCCAAGACAGACATACACTCTCCTAAAAATCCTTGGCTTGGATATCTGACAACCTGATACACAGGAGCCTTGTTTCCCTCTAGGTAGGAATCACAGCTATATATTGATGGACTCTGACCAATCAATAACTAGAATTAGACACTTATTTCTTATTTCTATAATTAGACACTACTTACTTCTGCTAAGATGCTAAAGGAGTAATAGAATATTTAATATTAATTTCTTCATTCACATGCAAGTACTAATAAAAGGGTAATAATATCTACCAATTATTGTTTCCTATACGCATGCACTTGGTTTGTGACACACACACACACACACACAAACACACACACACACACTGGTTCATGTAAACCTTAAAAAAAACCAAAAACCTCTAAGATATTTCTATCTGACAGTTCTGGAAAATGGGGTACAGTGAAAATAGAAAAACTGTTCTTGTCCTAGAGTTACACATAGCAGAGTTGAGATCTGCGCCCAGTTTTCCTTAACACCTACACTGTAAACACACTCTATAGCCTCACAATAAAAAAGCCAATTTTCACTGAAATGCTCTGAATTCAATCTAGGAAGACTTGATTTTTAGTTATTAGCTGAAAATATTCAGGCTTTAAAAATGGCCTTTAAAAAAATTAGTACACAATTGCGGTGCATAATTACCTTCACACTGGGGAGTTGGTACATGTAATATACCACATTTTAATTCTTTTTCATTCCCTTCCCCTCCTTTCTTTTTCTTCTCCCTCCCTTCTTAGTCCTCTTTCCTTTTACAAACAGGTTGACAAGGCACTTCTGGAGTCAAACACCACAGATTTTACAAATTTTCTCTAGAAATTAACCTGTACTTCTTTCATGCCAGCAAACACCAGTTCAATGGCAACCACTATGAACACCATTTTGCTCCACTCAGAAAAGCCATGAATTTAAATCCTGCTCTGCAAATTTAACTGGTAGTACTGCAGATGTGATTCTGACAAGACACAAATCCGTAGCTGACTGAGGGTAATATGCTCAGCATAATCAGTTTGTATGATTACTATTAGGGACTCAATACTGTTCTGTTCCCCTATTAAAATATTTAGTGCTATTTAAAAGCACAAAATCAGAATTAGGGCTATATGGTAGAGCATTTATCTGCTAGGTGTTAGGCCCCGTGTTTAATCCCCAGAAACAATAATAACAGCAACAACAACAATAATATAAATCTATCAACCAAACACTCAGAAACTGTTTTTTAAACAAAAATTAGCAAACAGTTTGTAGTGTGCTTTCCTAAATTTATTTCATTGCTATCAGGTTGAGATCTTAGAAAAATAAAATCCTGAAATAACTGCTACCGATTATGTTTATAAGTCTGATTTAAATTTCATGACAAAATTATATAACCTATAGAAATTTTCTTATAGGAAATTCAATATTTTAGAGTCACTTAAGATTCTACAGTTTCATAAAAACGTAAAATACAGAAAATCAAGACAAGTCAAGACAAAAAACCAGACTGTTTATACTAACATCTGTGCCATATTTATCAGTGCATTATCTTTCTAGTCTACCCTAAGGTGACTGCTTTAAGCTAAATTCAACAAACACTCATTAAGTTATACGCTAAACACTGTGAAAGATACAAAGATTTAAAAAAACTGTATGTCCTCAAAGAATTTATAATTTAATGATACATTAGATGTATACATAAAAATTCTCTGCATAGAGTACTTTGTTCATCTAACGTGATCAAAAAGATGTTGAAAAAGTTAGAGGATGGATGTCCAAGACCCAAAGATATATCAATCAGGTCTTGCTTATTGTGTGAAATAATCAAAGGACATTACAATATTTGCTTTCTCCTCTCTGTTTATTAAGGCCCTGGTAATCACCACTACTTTGGTTTCCTTAGTTTTTTACCTTAGTTTCTTTTCTGTTCTCTACTCATGTAATAAGATATATGTTTTGGGGATTTCCTGTTCTCAATTTTTTCTGCTGCTATTTTGGGGGCCCACATCTTAACCCTGCTATAGCAGTAAACTCTGTGTTTGCTGGAGAAACCTGCCACATAGTTTTTTCTTTGTGCTTTCTCACTGGAGATCTGGAAACAATCACTGAAGAGATCTGTAAGCACTGAGAGTGGCTCTGTAACCTTGGAACCTAACTATTCAAAAATAATTAGCTTCAGGAAGTCTATCTTTAGGAAGTGTAATCAGGAAGGTAAAAGAGAACAGCCGTTACAGTCACTCAGTGATTCCTATTCCTTGCATCTCACTGCTATTAGTTTGGGCTATAGATAACAGTAGTGAGCTGGACTTGAGTATTAAAAGCAAAAGAGACAATGCTAAAAATATGGAGAATGTTAACACATGAAATGATTAGTGAGGATTCTAACATTAGGTCAAAATCAGTACTTTGCACCTGCTGAAATTCAGGCTAACTTGACAAAACCTTTATGGGCACGGTACAGAGACACTCTGTAGTAGTTATACACGTGAATAGCTAGTTTATCGTGCTTTTTATTCATCCTTATCTCTGAAATTTAAAACTTGCTTTTATTTCCATACTCTAAATTCTGGTATATGATACTGGCATTGTAAAACCAATCAACAACATAATATATGTATTAGTTTCCTCTGGGGGTAAAAATCCCACTATAAATGAGGGGGAAGAAAGCAATCAAAGGCAACAGGACCAGATTAATCATAAACCTAGCCAACTGAACCTGAATTTCCTTCAAACAGTTCCTGCCTTTTGTTTCAACATGCAGTGCACCTTCAAGGTTAACTGCAGTCTCTCTGAGCAACAGACCAGCACACTCCAAACTGGAAGATACTGATTCTTAATAGAAAGCGATTATTTACATATCTATACTGTTTCATTTGAAAACATGCTGTTATTCACTGCATTCCTATCCACACAAAGCCAACTCTGTAGATACCCAACACACCCACCTCATTGCGAATATTAAGAGGGTGGTTTTTCATCAAGTTCCCCGGGAAGAAACAGGTTGGAAAGCAAAAATGAAACGTTAACTCAAACCTTAAATACCCTCATTAGCTCGATTCCTTAACAAGGATTACGGAGTAAAGGGAAGGTACAAGGTGTGAAGGGAAGGTAGTAGTTTACGATTTCTCCTTCTAGAGTCGAAAAACTTTCCGAAGCACGGCAACTCCCGACCCCCGCAGCAGACCAGAGGACCCGAGGGGCTGCGGAGAAGGCTGAGCATCTGGGAATGGGGGATGGGAAGAAGAAAAGTCGGGGAAGGCTGCTTCGTTGGTGGAGCCGGTTGTTTAAATCCAGTCGGGTTTTTGATTTCTGCCTCACTTTAACTCTCTTGTTTGGAAAACACGGTTTTCTCTTACGGAGAAAACTAGCTCTTGGTCCCACCCTAGGGAGCAGGGACAGGTGGAGGGAGGGATGCCTGGCCTCCCCGGGGGTAAAAAAGAGGGGTGGAGGCGGCAGCCTAGAGAATGGGAACCCGTCAGTTCTCCGCCAAGGCTCAGGAGTGGGACTGAAGGAGCTTTTAAACAAGTAGAGTCAGGACGGAAGCCCCTTCCGCGGAGCTGGGAACTAAGGAGGGACAATAAGTATCTGCGAGGACCGTCCGAGGATGCGGAGCCGCCTCCTTAGGCAGTGGAAGGGCGACCCCGCCCCCTCAGGGAATGGGCCCACCGGCAGTTGGGACCGAGAGGGAGACTACCAGTGCCCCTACCCTTGCTTTTCTCTCGCGAACCCAGCCTCCCAGCCACCGCCAAGCCCCAGCGCCATCGACTCCTACCTTTCCCCGGCGATCCGGGATCCGCTCCCAGCCGCCTCTGCCACCCGCTCCCCATCCACAGCCTCCCGAGACCCCGCCCCCTCAACTGCCGGTGGTATCATTGGCATTCACCAGGGCCAATCGCCTCCTCGCCTCTCCAGCGCCGGCACCAATCCGAGATGTCTGGAGGAGGGCCTTCTCCAATGTCATTCAGCTCCTCCCAGGGCCCCAAGATCCCTTTTGTTTGGGGAGAGCAGGGTTGGGATTGAGTTTGCGTCACTTCCGTCAGGAAGCGCCCACTCCGGCCCAGGCTAGAGGATGGGCTTCTTTTTTCCCGTCTGTGTTCCACAACGTTCCTCCTCTTGAGAGGTTACTGGGCAAGGCTGTGGCCAGAGCTTCGTGTTTTACCTTGACTGTACGGGAAGCTTAGGAATGGTAGGCCTGATTGGAATTTTATTCAAAATGTTAATAAATGAGTTTTGGTGTCTGTTTTAGAATTAGTTGTTGAAAACCTGGTATAGTGGCTTCCTCGCTCCGTTTTTGTTTTTTTTTCCCCTGGACTGCCTGTGGTTGTGGTGCTGGAATCTAGAGCGCCAGGATGAAGCGCCTAGAGCCCATCTTTCTCTTTTCCCGTCGTGTAGGGGAAAGGATTCTGGCTCTGGAGCCTCTGGGACGGAGACACCGGAGAGCACTCTGATGGCGTAAACCCTGTCCACCTGCCTTTCAGACAGAAGTCAAATAATTGCGAGTTTGTGTGTTGTTCTTCCACACTGTGCTTGCTTGTTGAGGGTTCTTTTTTTGTGTCATATACTGTGAACAATGGTATTTGCAGTGAAGCTGAAACAAAGGACAGTTGTTTATAAGGGATGTCTATACTTGTGCACATAGGAATGCAGATCTTGGTGATAGCAGGCCCTACGCAGTGCTAAATAACCCAGAGGGAACAGGATGCACCCTTAGTTGCATTCCTGAGGTCTACGTTTCTGGTTTCCTTTTCCGTTGGCTGCACTGTGCTCACAGATCAATTCAGCTGGTTAAAGTAATAGCCACATTATTTTAAATAAAATATAATACTTGTAAGACAACCATTTACAGCGCACAAATAATGTATTACTTTTAATCTTCACAATTATTAGCAAGACAGTTTTAGGGATCTAGTAATTACCTAGGGCTGCCTTCATGCAGTTTACGGTTTAGTGAAGAGATGCGATCAGTTTGTGCAGTCATAGTGGGAAGAAACGACACAGGAATTTACCATTATCACTGTGCCATGTAGCTTCCTTTAATGGTAGTTCATTTTCAATAGTGTTTGAAAAACCTATCCCACTCTGTAAGATAGACCTTGCTATGTATAATTTACAGATGAGAAGATAAAGATTCAGAGAAATGAGGTAATGTCTTAGAGTTTGTACATGGCAAAGAGAACTTCCAAGGATAAACTGTGTGGTGTGTATGGCTGCTCAGGTCTGTACCATTTGTTGTTCCCCAAGAACACAGAAGACAATCTTTGGTGGAAAAGGAAAAGGTTTATTCAAAGTTAGCCGGCTCTTGGTGCCAGAGATTTAGCTCAGTGGTTCCACCGCCTGCCTCAAGCGCAAGGACCTGAGTTCGATCCCTGGACCCCCCCCCCCCCAAAAAGTGGTCTTCTCAAAGTTAGCCAGCTCTGAAGGAGATACAATGAGACAATAGTCAAGGAAATTTTCATGCTATTTCATCTCCTGGCCATTGTCTGTTTGTTCCTCCTTTATAGACCTTGACCTCCTGGGGCCAGCATCTGCACCTTCCTTTCAGACAGATGTGCTAGAGGTGTTGCTTCTCTGTCCACCTGAGCTGGGAAGAGTAGGGGATGATTCATGGTTTCAGCATGGGGAAGCTTGGAGAAACAAGCTTTTATCTTTAAAGTCCTCATTAATAGGCCTGACCCCTGTCTGCCTGTGCCCCCCTCCCCCAGCTGCCCGAGCTATTCCCAGCTACCTGAGTCCAGGGAACAGTGCCTACTGTGCTAGGAAAACAGCATACCTACACACCCCACCTGCTAGGTGACAGTGCACCTACAACATTAGCTGTTGCTATGGCCATGTTCTCAGCTATTCTTGCTCCCCCAATCTCATGCTCCCCCCTTTGCCTTACCCCACCTAACCCCATCCTCACTAACCTCTTTAACCCTTTCCATAAAAGATCCAGCTCAAAAAACTTGACTCAACTCTCCTTTAGGATTATTCCAGGAGGTCCCATCTGAAACCCCAAATTCAAGCTGGGTGTATTCTTTACTGGGTCACTACTATTTACCTAACACTCATTTTTAAAGATTCATTTTACCCTCTTAGTTACAGTATTGCATGTCTGTAATCCCAGCACTCAGGAGGATGAGGGAGGAGAACGTAGAGTTTGAGGACAGCATATCGAATACATACTGAATTTAAGGCCAGCCTGGACTATCACACAGAACTTCAGACAGACCTCATGTATTCAGTGATACAATTGGGAAAGGTAAGATGAAGGGCTTGTCTCCATGATAGGTGCTAAGTACTGACTTGATTTAAAGTGTCCGAAATGGTTAAAAATAGAGCATTAGGGCTAGACTATGCCCACAAAGTTGAAAGATCCCATTTCCTACTCCTCCCTTTTGGTTTGGCTATGGATGAGGAAGTGGCTGACAATGAGGCAGATGTGGGACAACAGGCTTCTGAGTCACTCTAAGAGTTGTCCTAGTGAATCAGCGCCTCCTTCTCCTCCCTCCCTTGGTAGTTGTTAACTTACCACCACCCATTCTAGTCCAAGCCTGACCTGGTGGGAGTGGTGCCCTGTTACCTACCTCCTGTGCGGCAATGGGCAGCTCCTCTGACTCCCTGGGTTCCCTTTTGCCATTCCTGAATGAGTGTGGAAGGATTCAAAAAGAATAAGATCATCCCTGTCTTGTAGAATTTAGTCCTGAAGGTGTTCAGATTGCATTCCTGGTAACTTATCACCCCTGGAGGTAGTAACAGGCAAGCTATGAACCTTGTATAACCTTCAGACTACAGCAGTATGAGGGAGACCTGGAGTCTTGTGATTCTTCAATATATAACACCTATAAATAACTTTAGAGACTGGTATAAAGATATGCAGAGAAGTAGAAAATGGGCTCATAATATCTTAAATTTTTATAACACAATGTGACATGTTTATATCTATTATGTTATCAACTTGCCAGTAAATATTTATTACATGCTTACAGTGTATCCAGAAAAAACTGGATAAAGAAGTACCCAACGATTATAGATTGGGTCAATCTTTCTCCACATTTTTCCGGGTAGATGTTCTATACATGTTTATCACTGGCTTGCGGAGGCAATGATGGAGTAGATGTTAGGCTGGAAGTAAAGAAATTTAGAGTCTCATTTCCACTCTCTCATAAACTTTATTAGTTTCCTGTGTCACAACCAATTACCACAAAGTGGTTGGCTTAAAACAACAGGAATTTATTCTGTCTGTCCGGAGGCTAGAAGTCTTAAGATCAAGGTGTTGACAGGTTGGTTGCTCCTGGGAGCACTGAGGATGATCCAATCCATACCTCTCTTGCAGCTTCTGGTGGTTCCCACATTCCTTGCCTGCAGTTGCATCAGCTCAATCTCTTCATCTATCCTCTATCTCATGGCTTTCTCCTGTCTCAGTGTTGCTATTTGTCTTTTCCTTTTTTATCAGACATTAGTCATACTGGATTTAGAGTCCACTCTATCCACCTCAATCTCAACTCATTACATATGCAAAGATTCTACTTCCAAATTCACATTCTCAGGTTCTAGATGTACATAACCGGGGGACACTCTTCAATCCAGGACACAAACTTGGCAAAGTAACCTCCCCACTTAAGTTTATTTAATTTCATTGGAAAATGAAATTTTCATTGGCATGAAAGTAATGGACTAATCCCTACAGATCACTTCAGTCTATGATTGTAATACAATTATATATGCTACATACATTTATCAAGCTATTAAACTGTGTGCCAAGGTCCGTAAAATTTCTTTGCATGGTGTATCTCCCTTGAGATAGATGTTGATATTCACATTTTATACATTTGGAAATTGAGGCACAAGAGAGGTCCATAGTCATGGAATTCATGAGTGATGACCATAGATTTTACTCAGCTGATTCCCAAGTACACTGTCATTATTTCTGTGCTTTTTCATCTCTCCATTATGCCAGGTCGGTTAGGAAAGCAGGAAATGTGGCAAATATTTCAAAATTTGATTTATGGAATACTTGGAACTGAATAATGACTTTCCTGGAGTTAAGGGTATAGTTTGAACTGATTTTTTTTTTTTTTTAAGGGAGGACAGGAGGGTGTAGTTCAGTGGTAGAGCAGCACCACATAAAAATAAAATAAAACAAGGAAAAGCAAGAGGGGGTAAATATGGGTATGAAGGTTTGGTATAGGAGAGCTGTGAAGTTACCTGGACCTCAATTTCCTCATTTGTGAAATGAAGTAACAGTCTCTGCCTAGACCACTGGAGGTTGTGAACATACAAGCAACGTGATGTACAAGAAAGTATCTGGCTAACTCTGTGAAGGATTACTGTAAACCACTTGGAAGACGTTGCTCTTGCTCTTTCTCCTTGTGGATCCCTCCCTGCCCTCTGAGGTTCTAAAAGGCGCCTTCTAGTCGTGGCACTTAGTAAAATGCCGGGAGAGCCAGATGAAGTAGCTGGAGCAATGGATGAGAGTGCTGTGACCTGTCTGCTTTATCTCCTCTTCTTCAAGCTTCCTTGCTCCTCTTCCACCAGTGCATCGGGGGCGGGGGGTGGGGGGTGTCCCAGTCCGCATGCCAGAGAAGGGTCTCTACCTGGGGCGGGCTGAAGGAGAGAATGCGCGCTCTCTACAGCTCCCTGCATTACCTTCATTCATCATTTGTTCCCACGAAGGCCTTCCTGGGTAGTCCTTCTCTTTCAGTTTGGATCTGGCGGCTGGAGCAGCAGGGGAATTTGGATTTCTGGGTGTGGCCCTAACTGCGTTCCCGAGCTTATTGCTCCCCCTAGTGTTGAGCAACAAATCCTGCAGCTGTCAGCGTCCTTGGCCATCTGAAGTCTTTTCCTCAGATAGTTTTTCCTTTTACGG